AGAGTTCTATAAATTTGCTTTGTGTAGGCTAGATTGAGAAGTGATAGTGCACGAGTCATCACATGTGGGCATAGGAGGTATGTTCGATTTGGAGCACATAATATCCCATCCAAAAACCACTTAACCATTAGTAATGGTTGCATTCCTAGCACATTCAAAACAAATTCTACAGCAAATTCAGTAATGAAATATGTATATATATTTGATCATGTTCATTTCTGTTGGATCTCTCATTTATTCTTTTTAAATAATATAAATCTGTAAATCTCCTAATATAAAACCATGAATTATTTTCTTTAAATCAAAATTTTCCTCTAGATAAACATTCAACAAATGTAACTCTCATAACGAAAATCGTGTTCTAGGATTGGGTAAACCATCAAATTCAAAATTTTGGGAGATTTTTCTTACCCATACATATTTAGTTTCTTCCGATATCCCAATCATGTGATTAGAATGGTATATAAATTCATGAAAATAAAAATACAATATTATAAAATATTATATTATAAATTCATGGTTTTTTATCCTAATATTTTCATTTCAAAATTAAGCAAACGTCTTCTCAATAGACTATCTACACGGAGATGAGGCATGATTGCTTCATGCTTATTGTATTTAGGCAAACTAATTATTTTATCAAAATATCATGCATTTCAGTCTTTAAAAGAGAGTACGTTTGATATGACGTTAAATATATTCACAAAAAGCAAAAAATTATAACAAAATAGATATATTTTTTTCCCCAAAAGCTCGTGCACACACCGACAATGTTGGCACTTGAACACTCAACTTTCTCTTTGAAAGGAGAAATCATACAATCTAATGCCCATTGCTGGTCTTTGTTTATTTGCTTAGCATAATAACAGCCTTGAAAATTCATATTTCCTAATACAATTCACCCTTATATCGACCACACCTAGGTCTACCCAAAAAGCCCATTTATCATTTGGATTGGGCCAGATTCAAATTTGGATGTGATAGAAAACTTTTTGAGAGATTGATCCTTGCAAATAGGTGCTTATACAATTGGAAGGCACTTATATTGGGCTTGACCTAAAGTTGTTGGTCTCATTAGCCTTTGTACAGAATTTTGGTAGGTGGGACATGGGAGTATAGCAGAGGACAAAGCGACGTAACATTATCGCCTTTAGGCCCAAACAAAAAAATATTTGATACTATTTTTAATTGAATTGAATTATCGAGTGACTTGTAAGTTTTGGATACTTTTGAATTATAATCATTTATTTATTCATAGATATAGACAAAACAATTCTGTTTGTGTATTATAGACTTTCTCGTAAGTCTCATGTTTTTATATATTGAAACAACCAAACAATTCAGTTTGTGTATCACAAAATATTTAAACCAAAGCTGCAGGTGAAGAAATTTCTTTGGTGATTACATTTTTTTTAAAATTTATTTGAAAAATCGTTAGCAAAAGTTCAAAAAAATGAAGTAAAATTTACCATTTTAGATGTTATGTAATATATGGATTTTTTCTCCAATTATTTCTATTTTGACATACAAAAACATTTAGATTTTCTATTAACTTGCTAAAGAATATTTAGTCTAAACTCTCAATGTATTTCTACGAATTTATATGATATAAACATTCGGCCAATCTCTTTCTAATTTCACAACACTTCAGTTTTTTAATGGAGTGGTAGAGGTTCAAAGTCAGAATTTTCAAAAGATTTATTTTAATTTTTTCCAATATCCTAATTAAATATTCATATAAATAAAAATAAGATATTATAAAATATTATATTAAAATATAAATACAATCACTTCAAAATTAAACAGGCCTCTTATAGGAAGCGTGATTACTCATGCCTATTATATTCACGCAAACTAATTATTTTATCAAAGTACCTTTTTGGATGAGCCATGGTGGTGACCCTTGACCTTGAGCTAGTCCTAATTTTTGTAGAAACAATAGATTCGATTCTTTTATAAAGATAGACCAAAAGACATCGCGAGAGAAGTTAGAGAACTATTGACCTTCAGCAATAGCTTTGGCTAGTCAGCAACTAATTGGTCGTGCCAAGTTGCAATGAGCAAATTAGGAATTTATTCAGCACAGACATGGCCGAGAAGAGAGATTTTCATCATGAGTACCAACAATCCTTTGTTGCACAGGCGGAGTCAGGATTTTTTTAATTAGCGGACTACAACTATATAATTTTTAAGAATAAATTGTAACATATATATATATATATATATATTAAAATTTAATTCTTAGTATATATATGTTGAGAAAAATATAATAAAAAAAAAAAATACGACAAAAATGATCCTAAATAATATAGATAGAAAATTGATATGAGAAAGAATAAGATATAGAGAAAATAAAACAATAAGGTACATGTAAAATGAGGAGTGATAAGTAAAAAAAAAAAAAATTTCTAGCAATTGTTTCAAATTTTTTTAAAAATAAAATTTGAGTACTTTGATTTTCACTTTGGGAAAGATACGTCATTATTACCTTGATGAAATATTAATTAAAAAAATTTGTACCATTTTAAATATACAAAATCTCACAAGCTTTAGTAAAAATGATTATTAGGAACAAAATAGAGAAATATAGAAGAACTGGTATATAATTTATTCTTTAACAAGTGAAAACTAAAATGGGCATTAGAGTCTGACCCAGTTGGAAGTGTATCGACAAGGACGTCGGGTTTCCTAGGGGGTGGACTATGATCACCTATGTGGGTGGATGCAAGAGAGGATAATAATGGGCGAGCGCAAGGCTACCACATTGAGCGATTTGTAGGTGCACAGTCTCACATCGACTAGGTAAGAGAAAAGTAGAGTGTTTATATGTAATAGTACTATCTTCAATTGGTATAAACCATTTTGAGATAAAATTCAAGAGCAAAACTGTACTGCTCAATGTTATTGACAAATGTTTGACGCTTTGAGCATTGCAATATTGTTTTACCCTTAAAATATATATATATATAGTCAAAGTCTTCAAGCGTGGCCTCGTCACAGTAAAAGATTTTGGGCTGCTATTGTGAAACATGGTCGAATACTTTATAGCAAACTAGATTCAAAAAGAAAGCTAGAAACTCATTTAGAGGCTTATTTGGAATTTTTTTTTTTTTTTTTTTTTTTTTTTGGTGTTCCAAAGATACACACTTACAATATTTGCCCAATCAATACTTGAATACTCAACTTCTACTTTGAAGAGAAGAGATTGTACCATCTAATGCCCCATTGATGGTCTATGTTTATTTGCTTAGCATAATAGCCTTGAAAATTCATAGTATTTCCGAATATAATTCACCCTAACAAGGTCTATCCAAGAAGTCCATTTATCATTTGGGTTGGGCCAGCTTCAAATTTGGATTTTCTAAGAATGTATAACTCACTTTTTGAGAAATTGACCATTGTAAATAGGTCCAATAATATGGGCTTATATAATTGGAAGGCATATAAACTGGGCTGGACCTAACAAGATTTTGTTACATTGAAGATAAAGGTCCTTTGTTACCTGTAAAGAGGTCCTCGATACCTGGTGAGAGGAAAGCTGCTGGTCTTTGGCGGTTTTATTTTTTGTTGAGTATTGTAGTAGTGAGCAGTAGAAAATATATTTTGTAAAAAAAAAATTTTATTTTGTACAGTAAGACGAAATATTAATTTGATATTTTTACATGTTTCAAAAGTTGCAACACTTTTTTATTAAACATGTTTTTATATTTTTTGATTTTAAAATTTTTATAACCCTTAGACTTAATACTTCATGAGGTCCAAATTCTCACTCGTTAGCAACTCCAGCGTTCTGTTAAAATAATGTTTTGTATCAAATATACACTCTCACCTATGATGTGTAAATTTTATTATTTATTTATTTATTTATTATCTCTAGTAGTATGTTAAGATACACTGCTACATCATATTAGTGTAAAATTGTTTTGTATTTTACATAACCTTTTTATACCGCTACATCAGTATATTTCCTTTCTACTCCCTTTTTCTCATTTCATTAACAAATCAACCTAACATGACAATGGTTGGATGTTATTGGTGGATATATTTTTACACAAAGGGTATAAAACCTAAAGTTAAAAAAAAAAATTCAAATTCAAATTTTTTGTGTACATTTATTATGACACATCAAATTTACAAATATATATATATATATATATATATATATATATATATGCTCTAAGCCAACCCCATGTGTTAAAGTTACCAAATTTGTTTTTAATTATTATTTTAAAAACTCTAAAAAAAAAATCACTTATTTTGTTTTACGTTAAAATAAAAATACGAATCCCCAGGTCATTTATAATTTTCTATTATAATCATTCTTCCATGAACGATGTCGGTGCAATTAAAAACTCAAAAATAAAATTAAAAAGGACGCAAAAGATTGAGAGGATCAAGTAAAAAAAAAAAAAAAACATGTAAATTTTTTTTCAACAAATTCACACACACAGATCCCCACGTGACAAATTAAGAAAAGTAGATCAAAAGTGATAAAATACTTTACTATGTGGGAAGCCCACAGTTGGTTAGGATCCTATGATGATTCGGTTGGTCTAAGTTACCGAATAATTTATTTGTATTTATTATTTTTAAAAAAAATATATAATTAAAAAAATTCAAAGGTTAAAATTTCAAATTCTTGTGATTGTATTTTTTTATTTTTTATTTTGCTCATAAAAATTTTAAAAAAATAAAAAATACCTAGCCTATGAATACACTGGTAGCATCATATCATTCTAAACCCTCTCTCGTTACTCTTTAACTAAAATCACAAAATTCTGGCAACCCATAACATCTACTATTACACTTTATATATATATGTATATATATATTCTTCATTTGGCCTACCTTACTGCAATTGAACATATTTAATAGCATTTATATACTTCCAAATCCAGCTAATGATGTGGGGTTTTACTCTTCGTTCTTAAACAACACAGCCTATGATTCACATACATGGAGGTGACGAGAGAGATGCGTGGAGTTCTATTTCCTAGGTCTTCATATGTAAAAATATAGTCCTCAAATCTATTTAATTGCATTTTAGCCTCAAAAAAAAAAAAAAAAAAAAACAAAAGAGAAAAAAAAAGAAAAAGAAAAAAATAATTTACAAATTACCAGTGGATCCAAAATAAAAAAGAAATCAAATTCTACAAGCGCTAATACACCTTTTCACATTATACTACCTATTTACACTGTTCCTCTCTATTCGGTTACCAGACCAAGCCTACAAATCTCTGTCCCCGGTGGTGCGTCCCACTTCGCCGTCCGCCTCCTCATCTCATCAAAATCAGCAACACACTCCCTCAACTTCAACCCCGAAACTTCCTTCCTCGCCGCAGCGAGTCCCTTTCCGGCCACTCTATCAAACACCTTCGTCCAACTCATTTCCCACTCTCCGCGAGCGTCACATAGCTCTAGGGTTCCATTGTCCCAATGAGTCCAGCTCCACCCTCTGTCCAGCCCGGGCATTACCCCCGCCACACACGACCCGGTACACGCTGCCGTGCACGGCCTGCACTTGGCCCCACTTAGTGGGCCCGGGCTCGACATTGCCGCCACAGGCACTCCGTACCTGGCCGGTGGAAAATCGTATCTCCGGTCCGTCACCACGCAGAAGGGGAGGCGTTTGGTGGCGTAGGGCACGTTCATGGTGGTGAGTTGGGCCTTGAACGCGGCCTCCGAGTTGAGTTGCTGAAACCCGGCCGAGTCAAGTTGTGGGACGAGTGAGAGGCGCGATAGCGCCACAGTGGAGGTGTTCAGGTCACCTATCCCGAACCGGTCGTTGAGCCCGCCGTAGGACGATCCGGGTGGGACCACGTACATACCCGGCACGAAGCTTTCGGGACCAAGCGGATCGGACCAGTACCCGTCAACTCTGGTCCGGACTATCCAGTCGTATGTGAAGTTGTTTCGTTCCTGATATTCTCTGATCATCGTCAAACATCCCTCCACCAAGTTGAAATATTGCAGAAGACCCTGCAACCATATGAACACAAATAGGAAAATGACATTAATACCCTCAACTTTAGTGATAAATCTTGGGCCCAAAATCACGCAATATTACCTTACGTGTAGCACAAGTGTGTGTATATTGCGTGTATAGATATAGAGAGAGAAAAACTGAGAGAGAGAGAGATAGACTTGATGTATGCAACTAACCGATTACCAAACGAAAAACACATATTACCAAATTATATATATAATTTACCTGTAAGCCATTAGGTGAGTTCTGGGCAGAGAGGACTCTGAGTTGTGACTCGGTTTCTGGAATGGGTTTGGGCTGGAAGATCCGGATGGAAGCGATTCTCGGGGCGGTTTTGAGGAGCGAGAGCTTGAAGGCGTTCGGATCCAATGGGCTGTGCAGAAAAAGATCGGAATTCGGGTAGCGTTCCAGAATGTTGTGGACTATCGACGGCCCAGTGAGTTCGAACCGCCTTGCTCCGCCCACCAAACACACAGCGATTCTTGACCGAGTCAACTCAGTTTCATTGGCATGACGGTTTTGAGTTTGATTCACAGAAGGATTAAAGTTGGGAAAGAATGATTCGTTTTGCGTGTTGGAATGGTGGTTGTGAAAGAACGATCTGAAAGGGGTAAAAGAGGAGGAGAAGAGGGGTTGGAAGGAGGCGGTGGTTGTGGTGAGCGAGTTTAGAGAGAGAAAGAGGAGGAGAGAGAGAGGAGGGAGGATGAGAAGGATGATACGCCAGTCCAGATCCGTTACCCATCTAGTGAACTGCACGACTATCTTTGAATTAGGTCTTTGAAGCGTCATGATCTCTTCCTCTTCTTTGTGATCCCGTTGTGTTATTGCAGAAACCCTAATGCATGTGCAGGACTCTCCTTCATGGCCCATCCTGAATTTCAATATTATGACTGCATTTATATGTGTGTGTATGTATATGTATATGTATACGTATACGTATATGTGTGTGTATATATGGGGCCTCCGAAGAAAAATTGTTTGAATGCCTTGATTGTGTGTGGCTTACCAACCAAACTTGATCTCAACTAAATTTGGTATGCTTTGGTAATGCCGTAATGGGATTGTGTGTGTGTGTGTATGTATGCAGGGTTTTAATGGTGTTAGGAAAAGAGAAGGAATTTATTTGGGAATTAGGAGTGAATAATGGCTAATTATTAGTATTAATTTTTGTGGGAAAAGAGTGATTGGTGAGTTTAAAAACCGTTTGGGTTTGTGCTTGATATGATTCTTTATTTGCCACGTAGATCACATGGAAAGCTTGTTGCACAAAACTTGAATATTGTTACTGCGTACCAGCTTTTTTTCTTTTTAAGAAGTTGCTGTGTAACTCAGAACAACTTCTAGACAACAAAACTTCAAATATTGTTATTGTGTACCAACTCAAACAACTTTTACGCCAAAGGGTCATGTCATGGGTTTATACAGTAATTTTATAGTAGTACAATCAATATAAATATAAAATTAAAATAACAATATATATATACATGCACGAGTGAATGTGCTCTACTATTGACATGGTATGGGAAAGATTATTATTATTTTTTTTATGACCTAAAACTTGAGTGGCGGTTATGTATATACAATAAGAATTCTTATAAATTTAACAAAAATATAGATATATAATAATAATACTAATAATAATTTAGTAGGGAGTAAAGATAATTAAATATTTTTGACGTGCATCGCGTTGTGCATCTACTCATACGAACCGTAAGTGTTATATACATGGATGGATCCAACAAGGTTTTGGAGGGGTGCAAAAGTGAATTTAACTTTTTTTTTTTTTTTTTTTTTTCAGGGGGTGCAAGGTGAAAATTTTATAGTATATAATTAAAAATTAGTGATAATAATAAATTCAGTAGGGAGCAATTGTCCCCGCTGACTATGAAGTGGCTCCGTTGTTAATATTGTAAGTACGGTTTAGATGTATTCAATACACAATGCGTCGAAGACACCCTATACTCGAATGATGCCCCACTGCACCCATAGTGGGTCTGTGCCTTGTGTGAGTGCTGACACCACATATATATATATATATATATATATATATATATATATATATATATTTGCCACGTGCATTACATTGAAAGGTGCTTGCATAAAACTTCAGTATTGTGAGTCTGTGACTATGTACCCAACTCGAAGAACATTTAGGACAAGCCTTGCATGCATCTAGACATTTAATGAAGGTGCAAATTCTCCCAATATAATTTGAAATTTTCAAGAATAACATGACCATATATATATATATATATATATATATATATATATATATATATATATATCACTATTTTGACAGCCTATGAAAAGTATATGTCATTATTTTGATGGCCCAGAAGATAATAAGGTCCAAGTCACATGGTCATGTTATTCTTGAAAATTTCAAATTATATTGGGAGAATTTGCACCTTCATTAAATGTCTAGATGCATGCAAGGCTTGGCCTAAATGTTCTTCGAGTTGGGTATATATATATATATATATATATATATATATATCACTATTTTGACAGCCTATGAAAAGTATATGTCATTATTTTGATGGCCCAGAAGATAGTAAGGTCCAAGTCACATGGTCATGTTATTCTTGAAAATTTCAAATTATATTGGGAGAATTTGCACCTTCATTAAATGTCTAGATGCATGCAAGGCTTGGCCTAAATGTTCTTCGAGTTGGGTATATATATATATATATGTATGCACACATTTCATAGGTCATCAAAATACTGATATATACATGACTTGGACCTTACTTTCTTCTGGGCCGTGAAAATATTGACAAATACATTTCATAGGCCGTCAAAATAGTGATATATATATATATATATATATATACACACATTTCATAGGCCATCAAAATAGTGATATATACATTTCATATCAGTGGCGTATAAAACTTTGTGTCAACATCTCATTTATAGATGCTTAGAATAATTCCTGAAATCATATGAGATCGAAATCAAAACCAAATCAATTGAATTTTAAACCAAACATATCATCAATGCATACTTTTCTTTGATTCAACATCTTATCCCTATATGCGCTTAGGATATAATTCCTCAAATTACATGAGATTCAAATGAAAATCAAATTAATTGAATTTTAAACCAAATATCTAATCAGTGCATATTTTTCTTTTATTTAACATCGTCTTCTAGATGCAAAAGTAAGTAAATTTCAAGAATGCCAAACTAATTGAATTTTACACTAAAGCCACAAGTGTTGAAAGTCAATATCTAGAATATTCAACTTACCCAAAAAAAAAATATCTAGAATATTCAATGCAAGATTTTCATGTATTTGACATTAAGAATGATAGTCACTTTGGGCTGCTTGTATTTATGTTCTCCTTTGTTTACCTTCAATTACCGATATATATATATATATATATATATATATATATATATATATATATATATATTAAGAATGATAAATTTGACTAAGATTGAAGAATAAGATATTTGAAAAAAATCGCTTATTTTTAGAGTCCAATGGTGTTCATGAAAAAAAAGGCATCAATCTTCTAGTAAGACAACATCCATGAAACTATTATTTGATTACCACTATATGATCTTTATAGAATTAGTTTTGTTCTTAAGTTGTAATTAAAATTTGTGCTAATATTATCCTAACACCTAACCAAGAAAAAATATATTTCCGTACCAAAAAAAATATTATACTAACATTGTTGCTGCAAATTGAGTAAATTCAGAAATTTAGATTACTAATGTCAGTTGAGTTAGATATATATTTTTTTATTTCTTATTTTTATTAATGTTAACAACTCACAAGAATTTCAAATGAATTAATTAAACAACATAACTTTTGAGTAGTAATAGAAGTAATAAAACTTATGTATAATTTAAATTTTATAATGTTTTAAATTTGTATTTGTTATAAAAAAAATAAAAATAAAAAATATTCCTCTAGGCCGTTTCCTCAATGGCATGTATTTATTTATTTATTTTCCATTAGAAAGAAATTCTCACACACACCCCAATCGTGAACTTTCTGTTTTTGGATATGATTATTAGTATCAAAATTCCCTACTCCCTTCATTCCAATTTAATTATTTATTTCCTTCATTCCAATTTAATTATTTCTTTTTCCATTTGTGGTTGTTCCAAATTAATTATTTCTTTTCCATCTGTGGTTGTTCCAAATTAATTATTATTCAATTTGAAAAGTTAAAAAAAGAATATTGCTTCTTCTCAAAGACATTGTTTAATTTTTGGAACCTTGCCAACTTAATAATATATATAATTATATTTAGATGTGTAACATAATATTTAAACCCTAATACTAGGTTCGGTAGGAAAGAAAGAATGGGTGGAAGAAAAATAGGAAGGAATGAACAAATTCCCTTCGTTCGGTAGAGATGATATAAGGAAAGAAATGATAATAGGAAGGATGGTCATTCTTCCTCCTTCACAAATTTTCATCCGCTCCAAATATGGGCGAAAGATAGAAGAGAAACAAGTGAACCTATTATAGAAAATTTTAAATTACTACATCACCATTCATAAATATTTAATAAATCCTATAAATAAAGTAAGAGACAGGTTTAATGGTAAAAATAACTTAAAAAATTATATTTCCTATTATCCTACCAATCAAATTAAAGTATCAGTTTTTTTAATTCTCTTCCATCCAACCAAACAAAAAAAGGGAAACGTTTAATCTCTACTTAGAAAATTTTGAATGGAAACAAGGGAATACTTTGGTTCTCACCGGTTAGAATGTACACTATATGACTTGTGATATGGACCAATAACATATAGACATATTCTTTTTAATTACCAAATCATAATTACTTACCAAATCATAAATGGTAAATTAATTACCTGATTTGATAATTAAAATAAGACATATTCAACATCAGCGGTCAAAATGATGTACATCCTAACGTCTAAATTTATTCACACAATAATTATTAATTTTCCAATTAAGATAGAGATAATACAATAATTATTAATCTTCCAATTAAGATAGAGATAGTGACAATTATCATGAAATCTAACTAATAATATTTACTCTCTCTTTCTTATTTATTTAGTGTATTTATTTGGAGGTAAGCATGAGTAGACATCATGAAACATACTCGAAAATAGATGGTAAAAGTTGACATTTGTATCATCATCATTAAAGCGTGGGATTTGGGTTGTTCTAACTTCCACAAAGTTTGATTTAGAGGTGCGTAAACAATGCATTATAATATGAACAATGTGATCCCATGCCATGATTTTTCACACACAAAATGTGTCAACTTATAGGAGATGTCATGAATCGTGAAAGCTGTAATGAAATGTATCTCATAATAGCTTTATTATTTCTCTTTTTTTAATTTTGTTTTCTTTATTTATTTGTAGACTAAACATGTGTACGTATATTTTAAACATATGAGCACCGACCCATATATATATATATATATATATATATATATATATTAAAAAAAGAAAAGAAAAAAGGTGACACTCTGTATCATCATTATTAAGGGTGGGATTTGGGTGTGTCTAATTTGAGCATTAATCCAAGTTCCCGTCAGTAAATTTTACGGTGTAAGGTGTTTGAGATTATAAAATTACAATTGAGTAAGAATTTTAGTGTGAAATTATTATGTTTTTAGGACATCATCTAATGGTCTAATTGGTAGAACTCCTCACTTCTCAAACAGATGACCCGGCTTCTCAAACAGATGACCCGGATTTGAGTCGCCCTCCTCCTAATTTTTCGGATTTAGTAAAAAAAAAAAAAAAAACTGTTGTCCCTTAGGCATGATTACTGTAGCAGATCTTATGAAAATTTTCTATATATAAAAAATTAAGTCAAATAATTATCAATGTGGTCTAACCTAGATATTATACTCTTTGGAGGGATATGGTATAAACTCCTCCCTTTAGAGTGTTTTCATTTTCATGAAAACTCAAATACTCAACAATGGAAGCAAAAATATACTCCATAATGAGTGTGTATTTAATCTTTCAATAAAATAAAATTCAAATGCAATTCAACAATATTTACTTGTAGGACAATTGGAAATCAAATTTTGCTTGTAATAAAATGTCAAAGCAAAGAAAAGTTAGGGTTAATCACATAAAAATTTTATGGTACAATATGTAAATATCTTTTATTGAACAACGAAACGAATATCTTACATTTTTTTACACCATAAAGCCTCCAAATGATTAATTATTATTACTATACTAATAATGCTCTAAATAGAAAGACGAAAGCATGGGGCGTTGGGATGTTGAGACGTAAAACAAGGCCTAATTTGGTTGACCTACCTAATTATAACATAAATAATGATAAAACTTCTTTCTTTTACCTGCCTGGACATTGTTTAACGTTTAAGCAAGGTTTTTCAAGTCAACAACTTTGCTTTTCAACACACACACACACACACACATAGGAATAAACTAATCATTGATAGGGACAATAAAACCCTCGCTATCCTTATATGTCACTGACTGAAGGGAAAAAAAAATCCTTATGTCACTACCATTCTGCCATGGCTTTGGTCTTTTTTTTTTTTTTTTTTTTTTTTTTTTTTTTTTTTTTTTTTTTTTTTTTTCTGACACTTAGAATAAGGGTTTGTTGAGAATTGTATTTTTGAATAAATTTCTTTTAATATCAGGAGAGTTTAGTATTTCAGAAATTTTATTAAATGCGAACACCTTTGTGGTCCAGTAGTTGAGTTGCTCCCATTTAACTTCTAATCTAATATTCTTGTCCTAAAAAAAATCGTGTTTTAAAAATAGTGTGGTGGAGAAACGGGAATTCCTAACTTTTCCAAAATATTCTTCCATCAGCCTAAATAAATATAAACAGACTCTTGAATTTCGTGACAATTATAAACTCGAAGTGACTGTTTCTCATTTCAAACATGTGACCTTCAAGTCGCAATGGAAAAACCTTACTACTGGTTGCTGGATTTCTATCCCGGGCATCATATGTGGGCAGATGTACCAACTTTTCGTAGTCCAGTAGTTGGATTGCTCCCGTTCAACTTCTAATCTCGTTAAACAGACTCGTGTGTTTTAAAAATGTGTTGGAGAAACGGAGAATTCCTAACTTCTCCAATATATTCTTCCAACAGCCTAAATTCATATAAACATACTCTTTAAGTTTCGTAACAATTATAAGCTCAGAGTGGCTGTTTTTCGTTTCAAATCTGTGACTTTCGAGTCGTAATAGAGCAATCTTACTATTAGTTGCTGGCCAAGAATTTCTGTCCGGTCATCATCTAGGGCAGATGTACCAGCTTTACGACGGGTTGATCGCGCATCCCACTGCAAAGACCCGAGTTTGGAGTCTTCAATTCCCATTTTTTATCACCCGTCTGCTGGAGCTGCCGGGGGTTCCAGTTCGATGCCGGCAAGCAGGTCGTGCACTATCAGGTTCCTTATACCTCCTATAACAAATTTCTCATTTTAATTAACATTTTTATATTAACAACCGTAGAAGAATTTCTATAGGTTTTCTATTCTGTTGGTCCACATTATGCATAGAATACAAATGCTGATTTCGAATAGGCTGTGATCCACATTCCAAGTGATCGTAGCCTCGTAGGTTAAAGGTCCGGCTCACATATATTTGGCCCACGAAATTCAAACCTTTAATAAAAAAAGGTCGCCTACTTCCCATTCCTCAACCTTTGTATTTCACCCTCCAAACTACAACCATGGCCAGAAATTTGCATACAACTGGAAATCACCAGCACCTAAATAGCAAAAGTTAAACCTAACAGGCTGTTGAACATTGTCCAAAATTTAATGGAAGGTCAAAAAATCAAAAGAATGAATAAATTGAAGCACAATGGTCCGTAACATTCCGCTACAAAAGCTTTAACCATTACAATTGGATTTAAATAATATTTCAAACCACCTATAATTAAATATGAAGCATAGAGATCAGCTTTTCACTGTGAAGGTGGAGGCGGAGCTGGTGGTGGATGTGAAGGCATGTCATCTGGAGGTGGTGGAGAAGATCCAAATTCAAGATTTGGATAGAAACCAGGTGGCCGCTCCGGAGGTTTGATGGAGAGCAACTGACTCGAATCCCCCACAACATCAGCCCATCCGTAATGAGGATCAGCCCTTAAAAGCAAAAGTTAAAAATTTGTCAGTTTTTTTAATTTAATTTAAGACTAGAACTAAAATGCAAATTATACATGATATGTTTAAATCATAAGAGAAAAGAAAGCACGACTTACTCATAATAAGTTTCCTCGTCCACGACAATATCCCAGCTCTCACCCGTTGTGCTCTTACCGTATTTATGCACTTTACTGAAACACAAAAAGAAGGCATATGATTTCCAATATATCATGCAAATCATGTGTAGCAATAATTCTTTACAATTGGAACTTGAATTCCCCATAAACATTAAATGTATAAATGAAACATTTGAAATTGAAGACGGCTTTACCCTATGGAATAATCAAAATTCTACTAACAGACAATGTAAGAAGCGTGTTGATCAATGAATAGATACCAGAAATTAGTTGCATACCCGTTTCCAAAGTGTTCTTCTCCCCATGTCCTTGACCAACCTAAACATAGATGGAAAAGGTCGGTATTAATTCAAAACAACACAAGCAAGAGAGAGATCATTCAGTGGAACAACAATCCTAGATATGCTCTTAATCTTCAAGTCTCAAAGATAAATAGAGGTGTTTTCAATATATGAAGTCACTGCAGAGGACAAGGAAATTCCACAAGCATGCACACACTCCTTTACTGCGCCGATATAGGCCATATCTGAGCTGGTACAAACAACAATTAGCGACTATTCACGAATGAATAGAAACTTGTGTGATTATTCATCGATACTAAAACATGTTTCTTACTAATTTTCTTCCCCTTCAGATGCAGAAGAGCAATTCCTTGGTTACCGACATAAAACACATATTCACATTTCTTTTCAATAAATCTTTTTCATTCAATTAATATAGCAGAAATCACATTTTACTAATGTTGTAGTTTTTTTTTCTCCCCACTTCTGAATGCAATTTTGTGTATGTTTTAACTTGCAATAATGAAGCTTTGCTATGCAAAATGCATCAAGTTGCTACAAATTTTCTGATAAATAGTAACTAGTGCCATATTAGGGTGAAATCAAGATAAAATTTCGTGACCAAAGTAAATGCAAGAGCCCAGATACAGCATATACAAGTCGCACAAGTCACAACTTCAAATCTCTGATTATATATTCTCAACTATCAATTGATGAACACGGAAGGTTAAAGTATTAGAAAAGCCTAGAAATTGAACACCAAATACCAGTCTACCTCATGATTATTGGTCTAAAGTAATTGTAAGATCTGACAGCTAGGAACTCCAGTGAGATATGTCTCCAGATATTCCCGTGGACTCCTCGACTCTCGAATACATATAAAGGGACACATGCACTTATCCATGTCTCATGATTAGCCCTAGACATGCATAAGCATGTATATTTCCTTAAGAAATTATTTGAGATAAATCTTCTTTAATTAATCATATATCTTCTGGATAATATTAAAGGGTTTGCCTAAAAGCTTTGATGGTAAATACAAATCCAAACATCATTATGCAAGTGAAGTATAGTTGTTATACCAAGAGCTTAGCTCCAGTAGTATTTCCACCACTTAACAAGTAAAGATTAGTATTCAAGTCCTCATAAGTAGCAATTGTGGGTGTGTGTTTTACTTACCAAAAGAAGATAAAATACCCGGGTTATTCATTTATTTATTGTCCTATCTAATTATGTTTATTTAATTCCACATACAGACCCATTTCCAATGAAACTGAACCCTGCACCCCACTTGTGGGAAGGAGACACCACCCAAGCGAACATTGCTATATAAATCTACATTTTTGATGTACTATTGATGGGCTTATAACATTGCAATACTTATATGCTTTGAACAGATGGAGTATGGTGAGTCAAACATCATCACTTAAAAGGAAGAAGGACAAGACGTACGATCACCACTGGGCGAAACATGCCATGTCTCCCCTTGACGTGAACCTATGCCAGCAAAAAACTTCTCTTCCCACTTGTCTCCCCACTTGGTTCCAAGTTCGGTCTCAGCCCATTTGTCTGTCCTGAGAAAAAATAAAATAAACAAAGGATACATAATGATACCTGTTGCTCAGTGGACTAGACAATATTAGCTGCAAATGGTTGCAGAAAATTAACTAAATTCATAGGAGTGTGTACAAATTACAAGCAACAGGATGATTTCAACATCTAACTTGCCCATTATGATTTTTTTTTTTTTTTTGATAAGTCTAACGTGCAGTATGATATGACTTTGCACAAAGAACATTTTTGTGTTTTAAGAGTATATATAGAGAATACCATTTTAGAACAGATCCTCTTCCATCATAATGCTCTCCCCACTTCTCCCACCATGACTGTTCATTCAATCTGCCATACTTATGTGCCCCTTTCTCAGTCCAGCCTTTAGCATCATATTTCTCCCACCTATATTAAAATACATGTGTCGTCCCAATGTTTACCACAGCCGAGTTACTTGGTGCTGCTCAAATAAATAGTTGATGCAGACAAGTAAAAATGTTGACATTACTTACCATTTTTCATACCATCCAGCATTTTCTGTGCCTGATTTTGCTTGTTTCTGTGCACTTCTCTCTATCCTCGCTAAGTTACTGCAGTTCTAAAAAGCAGCAATTATTATTCCGTTGAAAAAGAATCGTACGGTTGGTAAACTGAAATTTTTAAGGTTGTCAATGCAGCATGCTGCATGATCAAAATTAAAGCTATAGTATCTTATTATACAAGAAGAATGATAAGGTCAAAACCTCCATTCATCTTGGTGAAGAACTTCTTGCCATGTTTCCCACCAAGAATCCCCTTCGGCATTTCTTCCAGATTTCTCCACGCCTACAAAATCCAACGCTTTGAAAGATAAGCACTTCAACAGGGGTCTGGAATGCTTAACCATCATCAACGGACTCTCTTAGAAATGAAGTGAACAAAAATTTATCTTCCTGATGGAAATGCTTATGAATGGGTGCTCAACAATAACCATATATGTTAATTTGAGAGGTTTTATATAAGCAAAAGTACTATTAATTCATTAAAGAATTATTGTGAAAAAAATATATTATTAATGCTGATGTATGAAACTAACATACACAAATCAACATCAAGCATATGAAATATCATGTATCTAGCACATGCCAAGTACTATATACTAGATATTGTCATATATTATTTATACGTTACGCATAATCAGCACCATGTCAATCCATGAAAAATGCTTCAGGATCAAGGGCCTTAGAAAAGTAATTGTTATTATCAAGTGCATCTGAGTCTTGGATTTGCTGTTGACAAGTTCATAAAATAAACACAGCATGCAAACATAAAAGTGTCCTAAATAATATTCCAAACAAAATCAAACTCATAACAAAGAATCTCTAACTTATTAGTTGCCATAGGGCCAATTTAACCTACAGACCACAGCAAGCATGCAGTATGAGAGGCTAAAACAAGTGATAATGAAATGAGATTAAAAATTAAAACTGAAAAAGAATGCGGTACATCAGCCAAAGAAATTTACTTGGTGAAGTGGAGAAGGATCAATGTAATTGCTTATCCCATTTGATATCATGTGGATAGATGTTGACACATTAAAAAAGCACTACATTACCATGTATAGCATTTACAGATATGTGACTTCATGCGATAAAAGCAGTGAGAATACAGAGACATGGACATACTTTTAATCCTCTAACATGCTGGCACTTATACTACATCAAAAATAAAGTCAAATCTTTTTGTTGTTCCTCCCAGATTTAATAAAAAGAAAATTAACATTAAAATATCATCATAAAAGAACCCAACTTTTTGCAAATTCACATGAAGGGTAAACACAATAATTAAGTTTCATCAGCAACTCCTTCAACAAGTATGGAAGACTTGATTGTTTTTGGCAACAAATAAATTTCCCAGTCTAAAATATATGCAAGAACTTGTCTGATTTTGACAAAAGCCAAAAGTATGTCATATAAGAAATATTGACCCTTCCCCAAAGTATGTTTTGGCTCAGTTCATGGCCCCTTCAGCCACTGCGTCTTTAGTCAATGTAACCAATCACTGCCTGTAGCAAATAAATTCGATAGAGCACTCATGACAGAATAGAGATGACCACAAACTAGGCGCACTACACTTCATTAGAACTTAGGTGGATCTCAACAAGGGGGGAAAAAATGAACTAAAACAAAAAGTACTTTTTCTCATTCAGGCAAAGTTAACATCTGTTCTCCAATAACTTAAATACATATGTTTTCCTTAGAGTCAATAAATATTAAGCTCTGCCACATGGCGAACAGCCATTAAAAAATTTCAGAATAAATGGATGGTGAAAAACATTGGAAACTATCTTATACAGATCCATACTTTTAACCAGCAACTCTAGAAAATGGAAGGTAAGGAATATACCTAGCTCTTTGTACCCGGTCCAGTCACTTTTCTCCCACCACTGTCAAGGAGATCAACAAATCCAATTAATGCATCCACCTGGGATGATACTTAATAAGGTTATGAAAACAATGTCAATGTAGCATAGTTGTGTAAATGACATATGAGCAGCAATGAATGGAGGTTTTGACCTTATAGCAATGTAGCATAGTTGTGGGATGATACTTAATAAGGTTAAAAAGATTTGGCAGTGTATTTCCTGTTTTGCTGCTCCTACACTGCTTCTACCAGGTTTTATACCTGAACTTGGCAGTTTTCTGCTCAAGGCATTTTAAGAAAAACAAAATTTAACATAAAAAACATGCATTGATTAAGATAAATGATCTGCATTATGTGGTATTGTTACAAGGAGATCCAAAACTCACTTGGGTACTTGGGAGATTTTCACCAAAAAGGTGGCTTGAAGGAATAAGTGCACAAACCACTGGGCCATTAGCCCAATTGGTATACCGTATATCCTCTCCTACACCCCCCCCCCCCCCCCCCCCCCCAAAAAAAAAAACCCCCCCCCAAGAGAGGTGAGGGATTCTTGCCGTAGGGTGGGCATTTGTGGGTGCGTGAATATTTACCTTAAAAAAAAAAGGAATATGCGGACAGACCCAAGAACATGTTCTATTAAACAAGCATCAAAGGCGCTAAAAGATTTCCAAAGGAAAAGAATGTAGCATATTTTATACTATATCATGTACAAATATTATTCAGAAAAGTTTACAAAACAAGAAACTTATATTGCTTATGCATATAATGAGACGATGGACTTGGCTATAAGATGAAGAGCAGTCTCTTTAATCAGCTTTAGTTTGAACCTTGACTATAAATCAGTATTCTATTATAACTACAACTATTTAGTATATATGAAAAGTTTTAGAAAAAATTAGAAAATGATATGGTTGAGGGAACTAATATTAGTGGTCATATGTTGAAAAGATATGCTTATTAATCTCCATTGTAATCAATAATCCAAAGAATGCGATGAGTAACTGAACTAAAGAAGAAAGCATTATTGCCTTAGATTATATTCATAGTACAACATAAGTCATAGATTAAAATACTACTTTATGAGATAATTTATACCGTTTCTTTCCATTCTGATGAGCCATCATGCCATTGACCGCCCATTCTTGTCCATCTACATCTGTATCCATTTTCCCCAAGGTCCTCTCCACTTTCTCGATACCAAGAACTTCCATCTTCATTAGTGCCAGACTCAACGACATTTTCATTTAACAGACTAATTCCCCAATCCTTCTCATTTGCAATACCAGTGTCTGCAGTGAACACAACATATATCATCAGGCACGGAATAAGGTGCCAGTATAAATTCCTAACCAAATTCTATCATCACAACATTCAATTATGGATGCCTGTACCAGTTTTAAGATTAGCTGGACAGACTCAGATATAATTACAAGTCAATATTGAGATGATATCATAAATTACCTCTTTTAGGTGGAGTATCGCGGGACTGGGGCCCTGAATTCCTTGGTGTACAGCGGGGATAGAATTTCTCTTGTTTGGAAACAAAACGGGATCTGAAGCAAGAAATGCAAGCAAAAACATTATAACACAAAGCAGAATAACTATTTCTTCACACAAAATTTGTCTAATATTATTAGCCAAGGGAGTGTGGCTGGATAGTTGAATATAATTATGTCAATGTTCAGGGCAAGATGAATTTTTTATTTATTTTTTGATAAATCAGGGCAAGATGAATTTTTTCCTTACACTTTGTCAGTATGAGACCATAACATCCATAAAGAAGTCGATTTTTGAGGGAAAAGCTAGGCTTTGGTTACGTTTATCACAAAGAATGTTGCACATGCAGCTAATTAAATCAACCAAAAAAAAAATCTTTCTGCAACATAATTCACATAATAAGTGTGTGAGGTTGGATCTGGCAGTAACATGCTTACTCCCAGATTAAAAAAATTGAGAAAATCGCAAGGAAAGAAACATTAAGCTCTTCATAAATAAAATTATTTTTCCTTTTCCTTTCAGGTAAAAAGAAACATTACAGAAGAAAATAAGCTTTATCCTACATCAAACAAACTCAATTAACAGTAAATATCGCAATAGAAAATCCTCGGAAAAAAAATAGAAGAATTTGCAAGCACATGCGCATAGAGTACATATGTGATATGTTGGAGGATCGGAACTTACTGAGATGAAGCAAAGGGCAATGCCGGCGTAGCTTGGATTCGAACTCTCCGAGGGATCTTCTTTGAATCGAACGGCCATTCTTCGACCTTATCCGGACTCTTCCCCGACCCGGTCGTCCTCCGAATCGGAGCCAGTGAGTCCGAACAACACCTAATTGCACCAAACCTCCTCTTCCTCTTCTTCAACTCTAGTCGTTGGTGATGCAGAGGAGTCACATCGACTCTCCTCAGTTTCAAACTGAAAGGAGTCGATAAACCTCTTGAACTCGCCGCCATTTTCTACCAAGACGACGCCATTGACGAGAATCGGCGAAGAGAAAGATAAACCCTAGGTTCTAGAAGATTCAGTGTTAGTGTACTTGAAGTCCTGATGTAGAAGGACACTTACAAGTATATAATATATGTATGTATTGATCGATAGATATAGAGAGAGGAGATTCAAATTTAGAGAGAGAAGGGTTTAAGAACCAATAGTATTAGAGGAGTTAAATCCGGAGAGGTTTGGAGTTCAAAGAGGGTGAATATTTATGCTGGAACATTGACGGTGAGGGACCGAAGAAGATGAGAGAGATAATTTGAGAGAGAGAGAGAGAGAGAGAGAGAAGCGGTGGTGTGCGATGTAAGTGATCGGTGTGGCTTCGAATCCCGGGAGTTAATCATACACGTGAGGCACAGTGGACCCACTTTTCGTTTTTGAATCCACTGTGCCAGCAAGGAGTTGCCACCTGTCGAACATTGAACCGTCCTTTTGGGGCGCTTATTGTGACTCACCAACGCCTTAATAATAATTGTTATTTTGTATAATATTTTATCTGAAAACTAAATTGTGTGATATTGGTGACAGGGACTCTTCAAAACATGCCAAAATGTTTTTAGTTCTGCAAGTTTTATTTTGTTTTTAGCTTCTTCTTTCTTTTTTTTTTCTTTTTTTTTTTCCTTTCCTTTTAATACAATTAGAGATCAAATATAAGGCCATCCCCCAATAGCATATGTGAGAAAATTCTTTCATTCATCTTTGAAATTTTCTATCCATTTTTATGAAAATATAAAATTTTGGGAAAGTAATAACACACGCGAAAAAAAAAAAAATCAATAATGTTTCTAAACTTCTAATCTTTTTACTTAATACACAACAATGAAGGCAATTCAATAGAATTCATGTATTTCACAGTCCAATTATTATTGAAAAACCTCCTTGCCATTACCTATACGTTTTTACTCTCATAATTCCGAATTCAATATTGGACAAGACCCTTTCTAACATTTTTTTATTTTTGTTCGAATTACTAACACCGTTGTTGCAATCGGACCACCCTATCTATTCGAGAAGGCTTACTCTGAACCCTCTGGAGCAAGGGCTTGGCATTATACTAGATTAAAAAATTAGTCTTATTATGATACCACCGTCCCTTTTTTATTGTCCGCTTTATAAACTGTAACTCACATAATTGTGAGTCACAATATACGAAGCCAATAACAAAAAAGAGACAGATGAAGTATATCTATTTAATTTCTTTATTCAGATATGACATGAGACAAGAGCCTTTGTAACATAATATCTCCATTCCCCTATCCCATGGAGGTGAGGGCTTCCAAACCACAGTTGGCAATTTGATGAAAAAAAAAAAAAAAACTACAAGCACTTTAGTAACAACTAACACGTGTGATTAATACTTATGTTAGTGGATTAATGATTAATACTGATATGAATCCTTATTAGCCAACGAAGTGTGCAGGCTCATGTTTACCCGACAAAGTTGCACATCTTTCTAGAACATCGACAACTAAGGTCGAATATCAACGAGTTCATTTATTTCACAATTAGTGCATATGTATATATATATAAATAACCGTACTTATGTTATTAAATATATATTCTTTTCGGTTCAAATTCTCAATATAATTATTCATTTAGTGGGAGTCACAATTTACAAAATGAATAAAGGACGAAAGGTAGTATAATGTTAAACAGTGATACTCTGGTATTGTGTGGCCCTATTTTCCGTTAAACTTTTCAAAACTTGAATATTCCAACGGAAAATAGCTATCCAAAGATTTGTAAAACTCCGTTTTGTTAGTGATAAGTGATAACGTGACAGTCGGCACGGTAGGACTCGAATATCGCTTTACCTTATCCAAGTTATACTTTTCCCCTCCCTTTGCAACCACACCTGGCTAGAAACTGACATGGCAATGTACAAATGTTGAAGTTTCGCCAGTGTACTTTTGGATAAGCTGAAAACGTGGTGGCTTACGTGTCACAATGGCATGACACGGCGTTCATGGTTAAAGTGGGTGCCACGCGGACTCAAAATTACAAGGAAGTCGGAAAAAACGTGCAATTCTGACGTGGACCTGGATACGAAAATCAATTTTGTATGACTCATGCTTTGTATGGTACTTTTGGATAAGCATAAAGTCTCATTCACATTAAACTAGGACTAGAATTTCAGTTTTGAACGTAAAAATGCATCTCTCTCGTCGAATCCATCCATCTTTTTAGGACTAGAATTTCGGTTTTGAACGTAAAAATGCAATCTCTCTCGTCGAATCATCTTTTTAGTTTGTGTTGAAATTAGTTTCCTGAATGCAACGTCAGACGCAATTGATGACATTAAAATTAGTCCTTTCGCATTGATATATGTAGTATAGAGAGATAAGGACTACACGCACAATTTTCCTAGATTAGATGGGTCATATTTAGAAGGGTTTAGGTCAAAAAATTTCTTAATATATAAAATTTGTACAGGATTAATTCTTATTTTTTTTAAATGTGTATATTAGTTCATAAAATATCTGATCACTTTTTGACAAAAAATATATATGAAAAACTTATTTTATCCTTTTAATTTCCATTTTACCCCTCACCCATATGTGCATATACCCTTAATACCCATTTCGTTTCTCTTTTCTCTCTTTTCTTCATATCTACATATTATTTGTTTATTAATTAATAAAAAATATATAATAAAAACTGATAAGTATAATAAAAATATTTAAAAAAAAACACATATATAAGTACAGATATAATAAAACGGATAATAAAATAAAAACTATAACAAAAATATAAAATTGATAATATAATAAAAAAATATAATAAATCCGATAATATAATAAAAAACAGATAATAAAAAATATATAATAATATGATAATATATTAAAAAAATATAATAAAACTGATAATATAAAAATATATATATAATATAATAAACTGATAATATAATAAAAATATAATAATCTGATAATATAATAAAAATATATATAAAATCTGATAACATAATAAAAAAAATATAATAAAACTGATAAGTATAATAAAAATATAATAATCTGATAATATATAAAAATATATATATATAAAATTTGATAACATAATAAAAAATATATATATAATAAAACTGATAAGTATAATAAAAATTAAAAAAAATATAATAAAAACTGATAAGTAGATGAATGGTATAAATATAATATATATACGTACTGATAATATATATACATATATAATTATATATACACACAAAACACTCCAAACCTCACCAAAACCAAACTTTCGCAAGAGACAAAATAGAAAGTTCCTGTGGTAATGAACCTTGCATCTACTAATAAATACTAATGATTAAGCTTGCTTGGCAATCAATTCCTTATCCAAGGACCTGGAGCTTTATCTTGGTGAAAAGCCATCGCACTAATCCGTGCTCTCTGATCTCATCCTCAGAAATACGTGCCTCTAAAAATAGAGCATATCAGCAAGAGAAAGAAACCCCCAGCGGCCTATTTGCACCAAATTGAGGGTTTTATGTTATTTTAATTTTTCAAAAGTCTATTTACACCAAATTGATAATATATGAATATTTTATATTATACATGACCTTTTTATACTAAAATTAATAGTAGAGGAGAATTTTTTGCACTTAACCCTGTTTAGAAGATGTTAATAAACATAGTTTTATGTGCACTCAATTAACTCAAAATCACACACCATCTATCACAAAATGACGTAACAAATTGGCCACAAATCAATGTTCTCTTCCAGAGCATTGAATCTAAGATTTTAGATTAAATTGAAATCTTAAAATTTAAATTAATGAAATTAGAAAAAAAATTAATTAAATTCTGTGAGTTATTTTTCTCCAATTCTAAGGCTCTCGAATTCCATGCAGCCAAATATTCCCTCCGCCCCAATATAAGTGTCACTTATGGGGAGTAGTAATTTTTAAGGAGACATGTAGGACCATGTATTATTTGTCTAAAAAATTACTAAGTTGCCCTTTTAAGTTTTGAATTTTAAGTTTTAAATATTGAAGTTTAAAATTTAAACTCAAAGGACAATTTTGGAATGATGTGAAATATATTATTTGACAAATAAAAGTGAACACTTATTTTGAAACAGACAAAAAAGAAAAGTATGACACTTATTTTGAGACGGAGGGAGTATAACCTAAAACTTTTTTCATTTTTTCAAATCCAAATCCAAATCCAGGACGCCCAATTCAGTTTTTCCAAACATGACATATATGTATTTGTTTATAAAGCGATGCAACAAATGCACCAACTCATAATCAAAATGAAGTAATATTAAGATACATATCTTGTAAAACGAGACTCAGTTACCTCATAGAAAATTAAAGGTAAATTACATTGACACCTCCTAGGGTTTCGGTCAATGTTACTCTGATACCACTTGGTTTCAAAAATCATATTTGTCCCTGATTATTTAATTCTATTAATTTACAAAATCAACCTTGTTAATGGACGAAACTACCATCATCATTAAGTCTCTTTCTCTACCATAATCTTCTTCTTCTTCTTTTAATACCTAGCCATCGACATTCCCTCTCCTTTTAATACCTAGCCATCAACATTCCTTCTCTTCCCGATCCCCCCCCACCCCCCGCCGCGGCGTTGTGGTAGGTCTAGGCTGGCCATGATTGTTTTTTTTTTTTTTATTTTTTTTTTTTATTTTTTTTTTACTCTAGTGGTGGTGGTGTCTAGATTATTAGGGTTTTTCAAAAAATTTATTTTTATTTTTTCTATTGCGGTGGTGGTGCTGTATTATTCTGGTGGCGTTTGGGACAAGTATAGTTGACTAGTTTTTATTTTTATTTTTATTTTTTTCTACTGTGATGTTTGGGTGTAGTGGCAATGATTCTGGTAGTGTTTGGGCATAGTGGTAATGGTTCTGGTAGTGGTAGTGTTTGGGTGTGGTGGTGGTGGTTCTGGTGATGTTTGGATGTAGCGGTTGTGGCTGTGGTTATAGTTATGTACAATTATCGACTATTTAAAAAAATTAATTATTTTTTTTTTTTATGTTGTTGAGGTGATTATGGTGGTATACGTATTATTATATATAAACTATATCTATATATATAAAAGAGATGAAAGAAGTTAATTTGGTCCATTAAATTTAGTTAGTAGGTTAAATTTGTTATTTCATGATTTAAATGAAGCTGTTGACAAGTCAAAGGATTAAAAAGTAATTTCATATGATTTCAGAGATCTAGAGAGTGTCAATGTACATTTTTTGAAACCTCAGGGGTGTCAATGCAAAAAAAGCCATTGACCGTCCACTGAGAAGCATTGACCAAAACTTTAGAGGTGTCAGTGCAATTTACCCAAAAATTAAAAAAGAAAGTCTGAATAATTCAATCTCCAAATATATATATATATATATATATATATATATATATATATTGGCAGGTCAATAAAAATTTTCATTTCAGAAATCATGATCATCAAGAAAATGGGTAAAAATGTTAAAAAGAATGGCTTCCCTCTAGCAATTTTCAGTCGGAAGAACTTGACAATTATACAAAGTTAAACGGCACTCGTTCACCAAACAGAATGGCTTCCCCGGGGGCCAGGCCTCCTTTACCCTTTTTCCCTCTCAATTACTATATAAATACATGTAACGCTTAAACGACAAAACAATTTCAATGTCCACGAGCCACACCTATGTATAATCAATTCAACTACCCTATAATTTCAAAGGCCACAACGACATATCGAAACACATAGAAAACTGCCACACGAAGATAAGAACCTTCATATAGGGAAGAAACATCATACCAGATTAGGCAAATATAATGCCTTGCAACAAGTCTCCAACTCCAACCAAAAACCTCTTGTCGGCATAGCAGGTGGTCCACAACACTGAAAGCATTAGATTTCTGTGGATATCAAGGTCATAGATGTGGAGTAATATTCTGCAGTTTAAGCAAAGAAGTGTTAAGTATACATAAAAGAAAGTGACATGGATAATGAGGGTTTTAAGACTTACAAAATATGCGCGGTTTGACTTCATCTTTTACGTAGATGTGGCTTTATTGATTCTACAACCACCTGTTTAGAAAAAGAAAATAAATTTGAAAATCTAAGCATCATTTCAAACTCATTAAAAAGGATTCTAGATTCAACTGTCAAAAGGATTTCTTGATCTAATTTATGTTCCTTAATTTTGATTGGGCTGGATGATGTCCAATTTATAACTACTATCTGCACCTAAAATTGTGTCCAACATTCTGAAGTGATGTACAATTGCGTTGTACTATTAGTTTTCCTATTGTCAACATATGACCAAACACAATTTCAGCTAATTATAAACATCTGGTTTCCCTGTTTATGATTATTACTATTTTAACCAGAAACATACTACAGTAAAACTGTACAAATTACAGTCGGATTTTTTTTACTTATACCACTTAGATAAAGGCGCACATTGCTGCATGAGCAATCTCTAAACACAGACAGAATAACCACACTAACATTTTTTTTTGGGTACACATACTATAAATGCAAGATTAACAGAAACGTGTTAGAGAAAGCTCAACCTCATAAAAAACAAGCTGGAAGTTATCTCCACACATACTGTAAAGGCAATCTCTACACACACAAAGCATAACCGCACTAATCTTACAAGAAAACTAGCTGAAAGTATTAGGATGTCCAACCTCATAAAAAGCTCACCATTTTATAATGGTGTAGAGCCTTTTACTGTGTAAGAGCTAGAATTTCGTATTCTTCTATAAGAAAATTTAATTAAGCAACGGATAGACTCTCTTCCCATTTTTATCCCAACTGTACAACAGAAATGTTCTTACCCTTCCATCGTAGGACAATGATGCAAAAGTCCAAGGCTCCCGGGAGCTCCAAGCAAGGCCTGCAATTTCAGGAAAAGAGTCATGCCAAGTTTAGGCATCAACCTAGGCAATAAACCAGAATATTGAGTTACCATAAACACTGTCTTCATAGTCACTGTATGAATTAAGCAATGGATCCACCCGCTTAGTAGGTGACTCAACCAAGCTGCTAGAATCACAAACACGAGTAAACTCGTCAAAAAAATTAATGAATGAAAATTGAGAAATTTCAAACTTCCAGAATAGGAAAATGACCTTTCAGAAGTCAAATCATCAGTGCTAGGAGGAGAAGCCAACCACAAGTTGACAGCAGAGTCTGTCCCAGCACTCTGCAAAATTTTAAATGTCGTTTAATTTATAGGTAAATAAACAGATTAGTACTTTTATGTATGCCTGTTTGTGGGGTAGACGAGAGAGAGAGAGAGAACCAAGATCAGCCCTTCATATTCAGGATTACATCTAACAGCCCATGTCCTGCCAAGAAGATCAAAAAGAGTCATTAGACTACCATCAAGCACATGCAAACGAGAAACATGTTTTAATGAAGAACTTAACCAATTAAAGACATCAAAATTCCATAGATATTACATGATTAACACCCATAATTATATTTAACCACATCTAGGAAAGCATTATAACATGCAAAAGAGCAGCTTTGTAGCATTAGGTTAAAATGATACCAGTGTGCATGTCCAGGGAGCTCCACAGTAGGAACCTTAAGCATTCTAAGATCCCATATGTGTATCCCAGATTCATCCTCTGCAGTTACCTGTAAAATTGGGTACGGTATTATAAATATTAAACAGACAAAAATTAGAAAATGAAAGTAAACTCATCTGATTAAAGAAATTTTGAAACCAGGTGCAGATCTCAACAACAGTTAATTCTGAAGAGAGATTTTAGTTCCTCCTTTCTCCACTAATATTATAAGTGGAACTAATGAAAAGGTGGGAAAACAAGAGGCATCTGGTCAATGGATGCAAAGAACAATTCAATTGCATTTTGCAATTGCATTTAATTGCCCATATTCTTTCCCTTTTCTTCTCCAAAATAAGCATTTCTAAGGTAAAATAAATATATAAGGGTCCATTTGGAGGTGGTTGTTAGGAGAAAATTAAGGCAGAAGAGAGAGAGAGGAGGAGGAGGAGGATTGGAGAATGAGGCAATGTCTAGAAAGTGTCTTTTAGCAGTCATCGAGTAATCTTCTTCACCCAATTGTATTGGGAGAATAATTGTACTTGTAGTAGAATCCGTATATGCTAGTTAGCTAGAATATTTTGCCAGATGAACCTAAGTGCCACATGTCCTTCTCTGAGGTATCTTTGTCGAGTGCAATCCAAGGCATTACATGCATCATGCCCATGCAGGTCCATGGGTAAGATATTGGTAGCTTGAGATACAATCTGACTTGCTCCTAATTTAAGTGGATAAGCCGCCAAGTTAAGATAACCCAACTATCCTGATATGAGATATCTCACAGCACATCCTCGAACAAATAATAACTGCAAGGATTATGGCGTGTGCTTGCTCACACTATGACAATTACACAATGTCATGAACTATCTTGTAGTTAATTGGACCACACTGTTTTGCATATAAATTACAATCATTCACCCATGAGAAAGATAACATGCAGTACACCCTAATGTTGTGACACGATCATACTGCGGATAGCAATACATCATAATTGCAGGATTGTAGAACAAGAGTTCTCATATAAGACTCACATGGCCGTAATGCACCTTGGAGTAGGGCCATACAGTCGAGGGATTATGATGCTACACTGTACGACATAAACATGGCAAGCAAAATGCACTACAAGATTTCTAAGGAATATCACAATGCTCCCCTACACAGCAGGCCATGGCCACACCATAGTGTGGCAGCCCGGTTAAGAAAATTGCTTTTGGGACATCGATCTATGGCACAGTCCTTGGCTACACTGCAAGCCAAGGCCACACTTTAGTCATGGCAGATAGGTTGAGAGAATGCTTTTGGGATGCAGAACTATAACATGGGGTAATGCATCACATTGCAGCCACGCACCAAGATCATAGAGCCCACTGCAACAGTCTTAGACCAGTGCAAGTGGCTAGGACTTGTCATTTTGAAGGAGAAAGAGGGATTTTTTTTTGTTGCCATTTCTTTGACAGGTCTTGCTTGAGTGCCTGCCTTTTGATATTATTCTAAATATCCATGTATGATATTAGTGTATCTTTGGTGGCTTTTGATGTCTTTCATCCTTTTTTTTCTTTTTAAGTGAGAAGGTCGACCAACATGTAAAGAATGCCTTTGGAGATTCCACAACAATGAAATGATTCTATACATTATAACAGCAAATGAATGGAAACGCCCGTCCTTTAAATTGGAACAAACACAAAAAGTATATTTGTAAAAGGATGAGGCCATTGAGAGAAAATAAAACTCTAAAAATAAATAATCTCACCAGCTCCTATTATTTTTAATTATCCTACTGTACATAATCCAACAACCACATGAAAGTAACACTACATTTTTTTTTTCCCCAGCCGAAAGTGACACCATATTATAACTGTGTAATCTACACATACATAATTTATACATGCAGGGAACACAATATGATGTGATAGTTAACATGTAAGTATCTATTCATTCGTGAATCAGAATGAGATATCAGTACTATGAAAATTTGCAAAATAATTAAATAGAAAAGTCTGCTTGAGTGAATTCATGAATACATACGAGTATATACTTCTTCTTGGTGTCATAATCTACGTTACGGACATGAGCGTGCTCAATTGAATTTGTTTTCCTGTAAATATGACTGTGGTGTTAATAGCATGAATAAAGTCTCAAATAATAAACTAATATCCATTGAAGGCAAAGAAGTTCATATTTAGCAGTTCCAACCCACAAAAACAATATCTTGAGGTTAAGCAAAGGATAAACTTGTGTATTTACAGTGAAGAGGCACTTTAACATGAAAACCAATTTTACCTGCAGAAACAGATATCTAATATAGTTTTTCGACACGCCTAATCAAGCATATGAAAAGGACTAAAGCTGAAGAGAGCCCACTAATAAGAAATAAACCACCAAAGCTATGAAGGTCTAGAATGTTGGGGCTAGCCACAAAATCCTGGAACATAAGAGATGACTCTTAATGAAATGGAAAAATGAATAAAGGAGTAAAAACAGAAATAATAAATTTGACTTCAACTAAAACAGGTTGGAAGCACAACCGTTATGGCGTTGCCCCACTCTGAATAACAGGAGCAAAGGGAAGGGGATGCGCTGGGGGCTCCAATTATAAGTGAATTTACCTAGTATAGGGACGTCAATTTTACCTGCCCCATCAGGTCCTCGCCCCGCCCCTGATGGGATGGGTATGGGATGTTAAAAAATAGGATAGGGTGGGTTTGGCTCTGCAAAAGTAAACCCGAAGCGGGTTAGGGGGTTGGGTTTAGTAGAAAAAACCCCACCCCGCCCCGATTATATATGCAGAGGTACATTTAATATTCTTACCTTCTTTAATATTTTTACTATTTCCCAAACATCTTACGCCTGTATATATATATATATTATCTGTAGTAGACGTCTACTATTCCCCAAAGATGACCAAATACATTTGTACTACACTTTTACTATTCCCCAAACATCTCTTTGTATATCTGCAATAGACTTTTACTATTCCCCAAATATCTCTTTGTATATAATATATATACAAATTATGTTCTTTAGGGTTAAAACCTCTTACATTTACTTCCATCGCAGTCTTGCCTCTTCTTCTCTCAGTTTGTTCTACACTCTCCAAACAATCTCCTCTCATTTTGGCTCCAAGGACTACAGTTGGGAGATTGAAAGAGACAATGAAAGGGGATCACGGTAGTGCTGTCCCAATTTTTGTGATTTCACCGCCATTGTTGTAACATATTTTTCGCTCCATGTGCATCTTCTTGTTGAGCTGTAATTTTTCTGGTAATTGTTTCAAATCAAACTCAATAAGTTCTATAGTTTGAGTGGGTTTTAATATCTTAGATGTTCATGATCTGTGAGTTACTTAACTTACTTGAATATTCAAGGGAAAACTACATTTATATAGAGTTAGGAGCCTTAAATAACAAAATGGTCTATTTTAAAAGTTCATTTTTCACTTTGATTGAATTAAATAAAATAATTACATATGCATCAATAACTATTGTTTAGGTCCAAAATGCCCTCCAAACACTTATTCCAAAATACTAAAAATTATTCCCCTAAAATCAAGTACTTTCTTTAAATAATTTCTTTCCTTTAACTTTGAACCATATTGCTACAACTTTCATATATACAAACACGATAACTTATACAAATAATAAAAAAGATTCAATATAGTAAAAAAGGGGCAATCAAAGATTAGTCCCCAAAAGGAAAAATATAATTAAACTCAAGAATATATAAATCGTCTTTGTTGTGCTGCATGCCTTGAAATTATCATCAATTTTTTGGCTCAATTAATTACACTTGTTTTATAAAACAAAAACAAAAAATTGATTGCTAGTGCACCATTTACTAAAGCAACCATTTAGTTTTTTCATGATCTCCCTCTCTTGTGCGTGCGTACTGTATGTGTGTGTGTATATATATATTCATAGGAAAACTTTCACATTTGTAGGTTTATATTGGTATGAATTAGGAGATATGATTAAAGTTATGTGCAAATAAAATTATATAAATATATATATGTATATAGGATGAATTTCCACTTAGTGAAAAAAAAAAATCTATACATAATGAATTTTCACTAAATTATTTGTATATTTCTAAATTGATATTTGCAGGTTTGAACCATATGGATTAGGAGATATCGTTAAAAGTTTTTTGCACAAAATTTATAATATATATATATATGTTGTTTTTATTTTATTTATTTTGGTAATATACACGCCATATGCAAAAATGCCAAGTTGAAAGTCAACTCAAAAATCTTGTTTTTCTAAATTTTATGAATGAAAGAAATATTTGATTTAGGAAGGATATTTTGGTATTTTGAAATAAAAATTTAGAGGGTTTTTTGGACCTAAATAATAGTTTTTAATGCATATGTAATTATTTTACCTAACTCGACCAAATTGAAAAATTAACTTTAAAAATAGACTGATTTGTTATTTAAGGCTCCTAAATCTACTTAAGTGTAGTTTTCCCAATATTCAATGACTTGGTTGAAGTGTCTTCTCTCTCTAAAAATTAACTTGTATATATTTAAACCCTATTCCACTCTCTTTTTCTCTTCACATACACACATATACACGCTAAAACCCTACCTCCCACCATTGAAATTTCAATTCAATTACTCCTGAATGGGTTATTCCATTGCAACTGGGGCGAGACAGGGCGGGGACGGGCGCATCAAGTATATACAAGTTTAGGGATGGGACACTATGTCATGCGGGCGGGCGGTGCGGGACAGGTCTGTCGATGTATTAGGCGGGCGGGTCCCATACCCGCCGCCCAGTTGACATCCAAAATTTGTTCAAATTATTGAGGAAAAAAGTTGATGTAAACAATACAACAGGGCGGAAAAAATTAAGGAGTCTAAAGCAAAATTAATTGCTTTTCATTTACTCTCCAAAACAATGTAAAGATGAGCTTTAACCACAGTTGATGTACAATGATGTCATAAACACATGCAACACATGGTCAGAAAGGAAGAGTGCACACAGATACATTTCAAATATCTTCAAGTATGATTTAAATTTATAATTGCTAAAGAATGATTTAATTTATAGGCACACTAAAAATGCTACTCTGTCACAAGGGTTGGTGATCTAAATTCTATTCTATTGTAAACAAGGAATTTATAACAGCAAGAAGGATTATTGGTGTACACACAAGAAATTTCTGCCGATTTAATTCGTAACACAGAAAAATATTGACACCACTGGCAGTTCCACATTGGTAAACTTTAGTTAGAATTGAAGATACTTTATTGATTCTTTGCCAATCAGTGATTTAGTTACAATTGAAGATACTTTATTGATTCTTTGCCAATCAGTGATTTAGTAATTTGATAAGAAATTATCTATACAAATAGTGCAAACTAAGAAAATGTTTTCCTTGGTCGCAATTATGCCATCCTAACAATTTCATTGAAGTTAAATTAGTTATAAATACCCCAAATTTTTACTATGTTAATTGTCGTCAAGCATGCAGTGAATGCAGCTTGTTCAATGAATCTGATAGTCACCTCTACATGCTTTTCATAAAAGCTCAACTAAGAAGATGAGAACGCGTGTGATCATGTGGGGTGGGTGAAAAAAAAAGAAAAAAAAAGCATACTTCATTGTCCGCAGATCCCAAAATTGGATTGACGATTCACATGTTGCTGCAACAGCATTCAAATCATGTGGATCCCATGCTCCACCAGATAGGTAATGAAGCATGCCAGATGACTCCTGTGATTGTACCTACATTTCACAGCAAGACGTGAATAAGAATCAGCCCAACAATTCAAAAGCAACATGACTATCACTTTGATGTTAGGATCTCTCTAGTCTCTAGCAATTGCTACAAAAAATATGGCATTTAGAATATGCCAAGATGAATTACCCAAAAAATAAATAAATAAAACCACAAACTACCGATATAAAACAAGGATATATAGAGATATGACTACTAATATAGAATTATACAGGATGCAATAATTTCTTCATTCTAACAAAGTTAATAATAAAAACTAGATCAAGCAGAAATCTTCAAAAGAATTTGTCCCCACATTAAAAGAGAGTTGAATTTCCAAAGAGCAAGAAAATACTAGACCTCTAGGCAATCAATAAGATGGGATGAGAAATGACTTGAAAACAATTATCCCCATTTGTCGATTAGTATGTTGGAAGGCAGTGGGGGTGAAACTGGGGACACAGGAACATGAGAAAGAGTGGAGAGTAAATTTAAAGGGAAAAGAAAAGACCAAATGGAGAAAACGTAACATGGAACCATGGGAAACACGACTAGGTAATCTGGGGAATTTTTTCATGAAACATTCTTAATAATTCTTGCAATACGATGTGTTAAGACTAAATAAATAAATATAGGAAAAATAAAAAAATCTTCACCAGTTTTAAAAAGCGTTCGAAATGAGACATATCCAAAAGATTCCTCGGATAGATAAGATTTTGAAAAATAATGACACCACAGGTAGTAAGTCTTCCTTTTGTGAGATCTCATTTGGTTGCAACTGCAAATAAATACATTTAAGAAGGAAAGAAAGAAATAGCTAATTTGTTCAATTTTGATCAATATACGTTGACCTGAAAATCCTATTTTCCCAAACTATAATAAAAAATGTCCAATTTACTAAAATATCATCTCCCTCTTCCCATGGCACTTCTTACTATCTTCACAGGTAATTGAAATTTCCTGCATTGCCAATGATATAAGCTCTCTTCCAAAGCATGAAGCTTTTTACTGGCAATGACCTTCATTCGTCATCTCCTTACAGTTTTCCACTCCATTTGAAAAAGAACAGCATCTTGTCCAACTACAGATTAGAATTTCCCACTTATCAATTAATTAGTTTTTTGTCTTGTTTGATTTTTGTTTTCTCTGTTTGAATTCTCTCAAAATCTTAGTAATGATACCAAGATGGTCATATGAAACCAAACCATTCTTCAAGAATCCAAATAACAAAGGAAGATGTGTGTTCATGAGGAAGTTACTAGGAAACTTGGAACCTAATGCAATCAAAAGCAATAGAAGATCTAAGGTACTTACTAGCAGAAATGCATAGAGATAATCAGCAATGCATCATAAAAATCAGAGGAAACTTAACAACCCAGATAGAGCTACGACAAAGCTTCGACACTTTTCCTATAAAATGATAATATATAGACATGAGATGACTCCGAGAATTCTAAACCATACCTGTGCAGTCTTTCTTGCAGAATCTAAGCTCCACAAAAAGAGGTTCTGCTCATCAATACTGATCAACTTGTCATGCCTTCCAGATGGCCACCAGAGTGTACTGTCAAGTATGTACAATAGATTTAGTGGTCACGTGAGGAGAGGAGTGGGGGAATCAAGGAATAAAAGGTTCTACATGAAATATAAAATTTCTTCATTGAGGACCAAAAGTTAAAAAATGAAAAAAACAAAGAAGAAATGAAGCTCTTTAAAGAGGATAAATAAGAATTTGGATCAAGTTTGGGATGGTGCATAGTTGTTAAAGGCGCGCCTAGGCTCCAAAAAGCCCCAGACTCGTCAAGGCTCAGCTAAAGCGCCTCAACCTACTACGAGCCAGGCCCCTTCAATCAGGCTCACATAAAGCTCTCGGGCTCACACTTTTTTGTAGGCTCCAGGCAAAAAAAAGGACGTGCCTTGTATTTTTTAATCATTTAATTATATCATTTTCTTTTTTATTTGATGACTAGTAAATTAAAAGGTTCTATATCATATATCTTATTGTTTAACCTTCTAAAATATTTGACAAAGTTCATAAATTTATGGTTCACTACTTACATTAACCGCAATTGCTGTTTGATTATGAATATATATAATAATATATGTTTAAATATGCATTATTATACACACACGCCTTACTTCGATTAGGCTCGCGCTTCATACTGTGCCTTGCGCTTAAGCTCCAGAAGGCATTTGGCATCTTAGTGCGCCTTGAGCCTTTAACAACTATGGGATGATGCAGCTAATTTTTAGAAGAACGGGCGCCAGGATCAACCCAGATCGTTTGACACCCCTCCTAAGGAATCAAGAAAATGCACATGGTTGAATACCCTTGGGTTTTCTAGGGAATATGCACCCCTGCTAGGTTTCTAATATCAGCACGCAAGCAGATTTCCTAACAGTTATTTACAGTGAGAATTACTGTGTGTGTTGTTTGTTGTGGTGGTGGTGGCTGTGTGGGTTGGGCCCGGGGGGGGGGGGGGGGGGGGGGGGGGCCAAAGTTTTAGACAGTTCACTATTGTTTTAAATATAATTAAAAACAAAATAGAACTTACTAATTAACAGAAACTATCAATATATAGATTCTGAATATTATACAAATATCAAGGAAAAAGAAAAGAAAGAAATTTTTTTTTTTTATAAGTAAATTGTAATAAAATGTGTTCAAAAGGGGAACGCGTCCCAAGGACAGTACAAGACTGAAAAAAAGAGAAGAAGATGAGATCTATGAACCCAATGACCCCACAAAGTCCATGATCTCATCCAAGGAAATACAATCTCTCCCCATGCCCCAACAAAAAAGAGAGCAAAGAATAGCGAACTTCAACGCTCCAATGGAAATCCCCTCCCCATCAAAAGATCTTCGATTGCGTTCGTTCCACAAACTACACCATATGCAAAAAGGAATCACCCTCCAGAAATGACGAACGCGCACTCCCACCCCCCAGAAAGGCTCCAGCAGTCGTGAGCAACAGGACAGTGCAAGAGAAGATGATCCACAGACTCTCTATCATTCGCGCACATACAACACCGGTTAACGATAACATGTCGTCTCTTCCTCAAGTTGTCAAGAGTCAAGATTTTGCCCCAAACAGCAGTCTACACGAAGAAAGCCACCCTAAGAGGAGCCATCGAGCGCCAGACCGTTTTCCACGGGAAGGTGGATTCGCGAAGATCTGAAAGCTGGTAAAAATAGGACCGGACTTGGAACTTCCCCTGAGGAGAGGGCACCCAAATTAGAGAGTCCGACCCGGTGCCATCCATCTCCTGTCTATACAGAAGGTCCAACAAACCAATGACATCATCCACCTCCCAATCCTGAAAGGAGCGCCGGAACCGAACATCCCACGTCAACCTACCACTATCAAGGCGATAGTAGTCAGCAACCATAACATGTCTATCAACAGCAATCCTGAACAACCTCGGGTACAAATGAGACAAAGGACGGTCCTCGCACCAAGCATCCTCCCAAAACCGGACATCCCTTCCTTTCCGGACTCTGAATCTAATGTGTTTTGAAAAATCGTCCCAACCTCTCCCAATGGATTTCCAACACCCCACACCGACAGGCGACCTAATCGGTCTAGCCGACCAACCCCCCCTCTCCTCTCCAAACCGACAAGAAACAACCTTCCTCCATAACCTAAGGACCTACTTATGTCAGTTTTCTGAAAATTGTTTCTATTCTCGGAGAAATGGAAAAGAAAAATAGTTTAACAATTCATTTAGTTAAAAAAATAATAATTTAAAACCATTCTCTGCAAATTGAGTAAGGAAAAGGCCTGAACTTCAGAGATAAGTCTTTTATAATTCTCGTAAAACTGTTTTCTGTTTTCAAAGTCCTTGAAAAATTATTTTCTAGAACTGAATCAAGAAGGTCCAAAAGATTCTTTAACTCTGATTAGCATTTAGAAGAGAGCAAGGGAGATTCGTTGCTCTCAAGAGTGTTCAGATACCAATACATCCTATAATTATATTTTTAATGAAGATTTTTAGAGCCCTTGATATGAACTCCTATAATTTAATAATTATGAGACGCACAAAGTTGGTGGATTGGCCTTTTATCATAGGTAATATGCTAATTAAAGCAACACCTGTTTTTCTGTTCTGTTTTCATATAGGCCTTGTGGTGTGGCAAGGAGTTTGCTCCTTGAGATTGACCAACCAAGTTTTGAATCTGATTATGCTTCCTTTTCTACATTTCTTTGAAATCTATAAAATTCTTTCTTATAGGGTGCCCAACTCCACAACAACAACAACAAAAGGCTAATGAACCATTAATCTACCAATTGATATCATGTATTATTAGTCTACCTAACTAAATAGCATAATTGACATGGATAATGAACTCACCATTTAATCTTAGAATTATGAGCATCCAGAGAGCCAATACGTTCCAACTGAGGAGAATTTAACTGGCCATATAGCTCAGGGATCTGCCATATTGCTGCTCCATACGATTCACCTTCAATAACACAACACAGTATCCATTTACCATCATCTATCTTCACTATTTCTATCACTTAACTTCTAGAGAATGAATGACTGCAATACGTACTTCAAAAAGAATCTTGAAATAATCAATAGTTAAGGAGCCAATATAGGACAGTGAAGGGCTACAGATTTTGGGTTTCACTTGTTTTGACTAAAATTGCAAGAAAAACAAATATATTTGAATCGAACTAATTACTCTTAAATTCTTAATACATTGTGAAAGTCAAGCTTGTAATACTTAGAATCAATCTAATTAATCAGAGTTTAATTTTCATGAACTGTAACAAACAATTCCTTAATCTCATGTGCCTGCAATCGAATTGGAGGCAAACGATTCCCGGGAAAGTAACCCATTACAATGACTTCTTGGACATGTCTATGGATCTTCTAGGTAATTATTGACATTGCGTTTTTCGCATCCAATAAAAATCACAACTTTAAAGAAATCACAAAATGGAGTCGATCTGTTACCCGAAGAGAAGACGGTGGAGAAGATGCGCTGATCAAATGGGCAAGAAGCGAGGTCCCATATCTCGTCCGGGTGCGAAAACAAACCCTCGCATACGAGTTCAGTTCCTCCTGATGAAAGCCTAATCAAATGCACCTGACATAGATTCTCAATTCATTCAGATTCAGGTCAAATTACAACTCCACTGTGTTATATATGAGCTGAGAAATTTTTTACAAAAATAAAAGAAAATCAGAACCTCATTTTCTTCTTTGAGACTGAGAGTGCCAGTAATGAAACTAGTGTGATCGGTGTCGGCTTTGACGTCTGCAATGCATCTAGCCTGTGAGAGAGAAGTAATTACGACTCAGGATTAGGGTTTCGGAGTACATATCGTAAAAGATGTGAAAGATTTTGAAGAAATTTCAAGAAACAAAATTAGGTTTGACCTGGTATTTGAGACCATAACCGATGCCAGTTGATCCTCCTTGCATAGTTGCACCGCCTAATACCGTCCGATCCCAGAAGCTAAAACGCGCATTCGTTTTGCAGTCTGCTAAAATACCCGTCTAAATGATTATATCAGCATTTGAGTATCGGATTCGGAGCCCGCTGAGAGCATGCCTGCAGATCTACTATCAAGGTCCAATAGTGGTTCTATTGGAATTACAAATGTTGGTTGTGCGACTCATGAGGGTAATGAAAAGTGGCTTTAACGGCGTCGTTTGAGGGCTATTTTGATTTACAAATAAACGTTTTGTTTGGAGTCAATTATTTTAGGATTTGTAAAAAGAATCTGAATTTATTGGAATTAAAATGAAATTCTATTTATATGTTTGGAACAAATTAAATTTAAAATGAGATTTTGAATAAAAAAATATATAATATCATTTTTTCCCTTGTTTAAATAATAAATGAAATATTTATTTTATTATAAAATATATATTTATATATATATATATATATATATATATATATATATAAATGACTTATCTGTGAATTCTAACGAATTGGATAATATTACTTTTAGTTATAAAATTCTACTCTATTCGTTTAAATTTTTAATTACACAAATACTAAAGTATTGGATTCCATAACTTTTGGTCATAAGTAAAAAAATTTAAAGGTGGTGGATCAATTTGGTAAACGCAGACTTTTGGTTATACAATTGTATTATGGTAGATCTAATAACAAAAAAAATGGTGTAAATTATGGAGGATTGCAGCAATTATGTATTATAATACTGGAGTATACCAAATAAAAAATAAAAAAATTGGTGTTAATTATGGAGGATTGGAGTATGACTTTTGGTTATAAAATTCTGTATTGTAAATTTTTCAATTACAAGAATACAAAAGTGGTGATGGATCAATCTGTTAAACACAAACTTTTGGTAATTTTGATAAATCCATAATGAGGCATACCAAAAAAAAATAGATATGTTAAAACAATGGTATTATTATATAGAGAACGACCAAGTAATAGCATGGATTTAGTTAAATAAGAGAAGAGGAGCGAAACATTAGAGGTTGAGATATGGTAGTAGATATTTAATAGGATAGGGTTTAATAAGAAGAAGGGTTGGAGAGTTAATTAAACAAATATATAATTAATGAATATTTATCCCGTGAAATCCTAGCGTTTTAGGCTGGATTTGAAACGCAATTAAAAAAGGATTTGAAATCCTATAATTATCAAATCCCATTTGTAATTCTGTGGTTCCAAACAAAGGAAATCCTGTCTTCAAATCCAAGTCCCATCAAATCCAGCATTCCAAACAAAGCGGCGCCCAATACCGTCCGATCCCAGAAGCTAAAACGCGTATTCGTTTTGCAGTCTGCTAAAATACCCTTGTGTAAATGATTATATCAGCATTTGAGTATCGGATTCGGAACCCGCTGAGAGCATGCCTGCAGATCTACTATCAAGGTCCAACAGTGGTTCTATTGGAATTACAAATGTTGGTTGTGCGACTCATGAGGGTAATGAAAAGTGATTTTAACGGCGTCATTTGAGGGCTATTCTGATTTAGAAATAAAATATGATTTTTTTTTTTTAGCGAATTCCAAAAAACCCCCTTGACTATTATTCACTTGCAAAATACCTCCCTTATGAATACTTTTTGCAACAAGCCCCCCTCAACTATACTGAGGGGGGTATTTTAACTTAACACTGTATAATGATTTTTTGAGATAATTTTTTGGACCATATTACCCCTCAAAAACACTATTCATCTTCTTCTTCACATTTTCTAAAAAAAAAACCCTTTACTGTTACACCTAAACAAAGAAAACTAGGATGATGGATCATCCCCACCTACCCAACAACGAATACTGCTGGTGTCAACTTGGAACCCCATAGAACTCCCCCACACACACATATATATACACAAATAAAAATACTATTCATCTTCTTCTTTGCATCCTTCTGATAAAAAAAATAATAATAATCTTGCCCGACCTAACCTTTATTTCTCGAAAACAGAAGGTTTTCACCAAGCCAATCAAGTTTTCCTCTTGTGCGCTTATAAAAAAATTTGGCCTCCCTTTGCTTCTCGCCCAAACTGATCTTTCATGACATCCCATATAAGAACTTTATGAGAAAAAATTGTAGTTTTTACATTCCCCATTTTTTTTCTTTCTTTGCCTTTATTGTAACACGGAATTTAAAATTAAAAACAAAAAACATGTTCAGTAACTATTAACAAGTAAAGAATTGCATGAAATGCTGCAAGAATCAATCCAAGAACATTTCTGCTGGAATAATGTCTCGTATTCCAAATTAATTAGGTTTCTACCTTATAGTTGTATTTTATTAAGGAAAATACTTGTCGAGATATACTTAGGCTCCAATGATGCTTAAGAAAGAATTAAGGATTTATTTATTTATTATTATTATTATTATTAATCAGAAGAATGTAAATAAGAAGATGAATAGTGTGTGTGTGGGGGGGGGGGGGGGGGTCTAATAGGGTTCCAAATTGACGCCAATAGTATTCCTTGTTTGGTAGGTGGGGATGATCCATCATCCTTAGTTTTCTTTGTTTGGGTGTAACAGTAAAGGGAGAAAAAGGTTAGGTTTGCAGGATTTTTTTTTTTAAAGATGCGAAGGAGAATATGAATAGTATTTTTTAAGGGTAATTTGGTCCAAAAAACTATCTCAAAAAATCATTGCACGGTGTTAAGTTAAAATACCTCCCTCAGTATAGTTGAGAGGGGTTTCTTGCTAAAAGTATTCATAAGGGAAGTTTTTTGCAAGTGAGTAATAGTCAAAAGGAGTTTTTTGCAATTCGCCGCGCCCCATTTTTTTTTCAAATGTAAAGCAAACTCATACCCCATTCGAACCTAAAGTGGGTTTTGTTCTAGCAAACGGATATCCCGTACCAAATTAATATATATTTATACAATAAATTGAAGGTAAAATAGTACTTTCTCTGTTCCAAAAAGGATGTCATGTTTAGAGAACTGTGACTCATAATCACAATTTTCCAAACGCAACAGCTTTTACAGAAGAGGTAGTAACTTAACACAAAATTAAGCTACTAAAATAATGAACTCACAATAATAATTTTACTTTACAAACTAATATAACATGAACAGGCCGGACCTTCTATATTCATTCTCAGGCAAGCTACTGCAACTTCTTTACAAAACAGAGCAACATTGTCTCTCTCTCTATCTCTCTCTCTCTCTCTTTATATATATATATATATATATATATATATATATATATATTAGATCGACAGTCACCGAGGAGACACAAACTGTGATTGTAAAAAAATGGCCTTCAAGGATTGCCTTCTTTCTCTCTCTACTTTTTCTCTCGCCTCTCTCTAACCCTCAGCCGCCCCTTTCGTTCTCTCCCTCTGTTTGCTCCCCACCCCTCCCATGGGGATGGGGAGTTGTCAATCCTCACCTACCACCGCTTAATAAACTCAGCGTGTTGTAATTAGTCACTCGGTGGGTGGGTTTTTACGTCGTTTTGTTATTGTTTTGTTAGATCTGCTCCTGTTAGGCTTGTTTCTGGCTTAACGGGGTAGATCTGTTGGAATTTATATATATATATATAATAAAAATTATTTTATGGTTTTATGCGCTATGTTTTCTAAAGTAGGATTGCAATGTGATTATTGATACTTGATGGATTGGGTTTGTACTTTCTAATTTGGTGGTCTAATTGGGAGTATGGTTTTATACCGTTGGATTGTGGTTTTTCAACTTATTTGGTGTGATTTATTTCTAAGCATTGATATATAAGTTTCCATGATAGGAAGGGAGACTTAGATATACTTGTTTGTAGAGAAACCGTCCCCCCGTATTGTTGTTATATATAAGGGTTTTAATTTATTTAGACCTATCGTATCGACAACTCTTAAAAGGGGATAAAACGCTCTAATTTTTCAGATCTCTTAAGGGCACTGAGGAATTCTCAAAAGGTATCTAAAGTTTAATCTTCTAATCAGGTATAATATCAAAACCTCTCTTTAATTCATGATTAATTTTGATTTCTACGTGTTATTTATTATTTAAACTCAACAATTGGTATTAGAGCCAAGTTAGGGTTTGTAGAAATCAAAATAGTAAAAATTGATTCATATTTTCATGGATGAGTAATTAATTCTTCTGTTTGAAAAAATACTTTATATAACAAATTGCATACACGCCAAACAAGGTTTTTTAAGCATGAATTTGTTATTAGTTTTTAGCACGAAGTTGTTATCAGCTTATCTTCTGATCAAATTGCATGCACGCTGAACGAGATTTAAGCATGAATTTGTTTAATGGATCAGTTTGTTTTATATGTTGTTATGCTGTGCACGCTGAACGATGTTGTTTTACTTTAATATGCAATTGATTCATATATTACGAGATTTAAGTATGAATTTGTTTAATGCATCAGTTTGTTTTATATGTTATTGTGCACGCCGAAAGAGGTTTTTTAAGCAATGAATTTGTTATGTGAAAATCATACTGTGTATAATATATAGATAGAGATATATGTTTGAATATTTAATTACTTCTTTAAATTATTCTATATATGTGAGGTAGTAATTTCATATATTATGTATCAAATTGCTCACTGACTAATTGATAAAAATCCCATAGAATGGTGATGAAATTGCATGACCTTATGAGTGTGCTATACATATAATTTTAATGGTGCTATCCAATACTTTATAATTAATTTATGGTATTTGTTCCATATTTTGGTTTAGTTTATGCACACTAAATAAATAAATTTAAACCTGATTAAAATGGAACTTCTAAAGAAAAGGTCTTTCATTAGGGTTTATGAGGACCGGTAAAGTGACCGTTTCAAAAAATAATAGTCAAAGTGAGTGATGCTTGCTAAAAAGTGACACGCTCATGGAGGTTATTATTTTTTAAAATTTTAAGGCATTGGTCTTATTGAGGTCTCATAGTCCACTTACTTACATGAGAGCATTTGTTCTACCAAAAAGTAATCAATGTATTAGTGTGGGATAAGTGAGTAGAATATTTGAGAGTGCTTGGATTATCACTAAATAACCTTCTTCAAATATAATCAAATAGGTCTATATGTGATTTGATCGCAAGTTTGGGGGTAAAATAAACTCTAAAATTTTACCAAAAGGTGATTTTTAGATGACATTTTATATATTCCCGCAGGGTGGATGATTTTTGCATAT